AACGGAGTTTTGTAGATTACTTTACTGCTACAATTCTGTTGTCAGCCTTCCTATCCTGATCAATCAGCAGTCTGAATACAGACCAGTTGTGCCGAACAGGATCACAGACCTCATGATCGGTATTCTGTTGTAAACAGCTTCCTTTGTCACCAGGATACAAAGAGCTTTGTCCACATGTTAATTATTTGTTAACTATTGAGAGGTTTGTGAAGAAAGCAGCAAGAAAAAGTTGTTGATGTCATAGGCATTTGTGCTGTGAAGGACAGATCTTTCTCTTCTTCCTCTGCTTATTCTGCAGCTGTGATTTGAACTATGAAAATACTGTGAACTGGCTGCATTGGTGCATCACTGGGCCTCTCTGTATGCATATGGCATTCCCTGTGGCTCTGCCTTGTTTCTCTGTCCATGAGAGCAGGGAGGAGAAAGGTGTGTCCCAGTGATGCTTGTGTTTGCTCAGTAGAGCCTTCTAGTCATGAACCTCAGATCAGATTGGATTGGACTGTTATGGGTCCATAAACTGAAAGGCCTGTTTGTGTATCGCCTTTCTGCCCAACACTGTGTATTACTTCACAGGATGGTTGAATAGATTATAAGTTCCTTACTTGTGAGAATGTGATTAATGCTCAGCAATGCTTTTTGGTTGTTTGGGGATTTTTTGGTCACAGTATTTGGAAATATGAGTGGCTCCCTGTAGAGTCAGTAAGCTTGGCAAGTGGATTTGGCATGGTGCCCACTGCTGGCATGTTCTTCTTCTTCCCCACTTGGTCAGGTCTTCCAGACTGATGGGTGCCTCCAGATAAGGTGTCCCTGCCTGTCAGCAGGTAGTGCTGTTTCTCTATCCACTTGTCTGCTGACACACTTGTCCATACATTTTAAAACCTCACTGTGTTTAAAACAGTTATCAAAGCATTAAAACAAGATGTTTCCTTGATGAAGGAAAGGATGATCATCCTTAAGTTTGCTAACTGGCAGCAGGAGGAGCTGATGAGAGGGAATGTCAAGCCGTGTTTTGCTTCAGTTTGGAGAACTGAAAGTGAGGATGGGATCCAGGCACTGAAGGAGGATTTGAGTCTTGAAAACAACACTGGTTTTAGTCATTATTGCATTTATTATTTTTTCTGGTATTCTTATAGAATACTATTATTTATACTGTTTTTTCACTTCATCTTCTTTGTCATCAGCTTTTCCATAGGAGGGGCCTCTGGGTTCTGTTATATACTGGTACAAAGGTGATGCTTGTCTGAAAGATTTTTACCTTGTGTTTTGCCAGCTATATATGACATAAGCACAGAAACACAATTTTCTTAGAAGAACATCATTCTTTATGGGAAATTCATTTTTGTAAACCATTCAGATACAATCAATATCTTAGCACAGGTAAAATTGTCATGTTAAAAAGAGATTTCCTCAACTACTCCTGGCTATGTTGCATTTTTTCCATTCTTCCCCTGCTGCATTTAAAGGTGAACTGAGGACTAAAAATTAAAATAGTTAGGTGTAGATTTATGTGCTGAATGTATCTGAAATTTATTTTGGAGCATTATGGAGGAAAGAAGACTAGACATTCTTCAGATATAAATATTGGTTACCTTTTTAAATATGTCTTTTTTCCCTTCATCTGTGAAATGAAGTTGGTACTCCCTGAAAAACATTTAGAAATGTGTCCTTCCATGAAATCACAAATATTAACAAAACAGGTTACAGAGTGGATTATTAGGATTAATTCCAGTGAGTAAGTAAATACTTCAAGGATTTGATAAAGAATAGCAAATGCTTCTCTTTATGTTCCTTAGAAGTAAGTTCCATGTTATATTCTCCATAGTTACTGGTTTTGGGCATATTCAACACATAGAATGGGTCCAGGCTTCCACTTTGGATTTTGGATTTGAAAAATAGCGTCTACTTCTGCCTTCATTTTTTTGAGTTAACAGTGCAATCCAGAATAGAGAGCAGGAACAAGCCTGAATGTAGCAATGCACAACAATATTCTGAAGTGTCTTGCAAATAATTTTCATGAGGAAGTGCATCTGCTATCAAAAGCTCTGGTATGGAGAGTTTCTGCTAACGAACACAGAAGGACTTTGAAATTTTCAATATGTTTTCAAGTGCTCATGTGTGTCTATCTGTGTCTCTGTGTTTGATTTTCTGATTCCCTTGTCTGTGTAGCCTTTATATTTCATTCAATATCCATAATATATATATAATATGGGACTGGCTATCACAGTACCTTAAGGCAGAGCGCATTTCCAGTCTTCCTGCTTCCTCAGAAGACTCAGTTGATGGCTAGTTGTCATTTGCTTTGTTTGGGAAATATTCTTACGTACTCTTAATTGGTAATTGTTAGTCAAGAACATACTTCTACAGCCTTCCCAATTTAAAATGAACAGTGATGTTTCAGAGAAGCACAAACCCAAGACGCAGGAGACACTGAAGAACATTCAGATTTTTGTTAAAGACAGTGCTCACCTAAGGCTATGCAGCCACAGAATAACTCAGGATCTGATCTTTGGTGAGGTTTGAGGGGGACTGTTCTGAAGACTTAGGTGGAGGGGGGACTGTGTGCTAAATTCTCTGGTGCCCATCAGAATCAGTGAGATATATGCCAGCAGGCTCTGTGAAGAGTGTGTGGTTAATTTTTAAAGGTAAGTATCTCAGAGGGGGCAGAGTCTGGCAAGTAGGAGCAGCTTGTTTGGCAACAGGCTCAGCAGCAGGCTCTGCAGCACACAGGATGCCTCATGCTGCCACCCAGCCAAGATTGGACACTGTGGGTTTGACCCTTCCTCTCCTCCTCACCAGCATTCTGAGTGAAGCTAACTTTTTGTTTGCCATCATCCAAATTATATCAGTCTCTTTGAGAGCACATTTCCTGGTTGTTTTGTGAATTCCTCTAAGAAAATAACAAGTAGAAATGGGTCACTCCCACAAAGCTTGCACCAATTCACTAGCACTGGAATCATGGGATTTTTTAAAAGCACATCTAATTCACTCTCATTGGGTAAAATCAGTAAAAGCTCAAGCACATATATGTAGGAATGCAATGTGACTGTACTTGTGTCTCCTTCATTTACCAGCAACAATATGGATCAATACAGAGAATGTTTCTATGCATCAGAGATGTCAATGCTTTTTAAGGTTAAACATTTTTCTGACTTTACAACTCTGGTGAGATTTCCAAAACTGTAGCCAAGCAGCTGTTGGGACAGAAGGCCTTGCATAGAGAAAGATACAGAGCCATTTGCAGCAATGGTCTCCTAACATGGTGAGGAAACAGGATCTACGGAGAAGACTGCAGATATAACTGTATAACCAAAAAAATTCAAAAATTAAGGGAGAAAGAGGCTTGGGATGAATTTACATTACTATAAAAAATAAATTCTGCCACTAGAGAGAAGTTAGAAATGGCATGATAGATTCATGCTCCATGGCTGTCCTGGCAAACTGGTTTAAAAACCTCTGGTTTACATCTTATGCACAGATCATGTAAGCTCCGACTCTGCCCTTTTCCTGAACACATTTATCCATATCTAGACTCCTACCTCTCATGCTACTGCAGTTTGTCTCCCACTGTGTCTGACGGAGGGTGGTCCAATTTACAATGGCTCTGGTATGCTCCACTGGACTGCTACTCCCTGGACTGCTTTTATAACAGGGCAAGATGATACAGTCTGACTGAAAATCACTGTTCAGCAGTAGTTGCAGAAGGAATTTGCAGTGTTTTATCTCACAGATCTATTAGCCTTGACTGTAAGAAGTACACTAGGAACATGCAGATACTGAGTATGTGTAAAATTAGGGGCCAGCAAAGATAAAAACTGCCTTGAAATACATTAACACCTAATTAATGCTCAGTAGGAAGCTGTCCAACACTGTGCTGAATATTATTTAGTTCTGCATTTGGTATTTGTTGCTCCAATGAAATAAACCTAATCACAGCTTTTTAAGAAAAAAACAAAACAACCCCAAAAAACCCTCTACAAAACATTTAAGGAGAAAAGGAGACAGATTTTTCCATGAACAGTCAGCTTTGTCGAATTTAACAAATTGGAGGAGAGGCCGCTACTAGTCCAGCTTACTATATATATCACTGTGAAGATCATATAGATATAGATATAGAAGACATATAACTGTATAAATTCCCGTACTAATTACCATTGTCTTTATAACAAATGACAACATTCCCTTCTGTTACATGCATAGCAACAAAATAACAAGTAATGCAAGATAAATATACAAGAAAAAAAAACTAGTCAAAGGTTTGGAAAGGGAGAAGTCCCACGATTATGTGTAGGATTCTAGGTGGAAAAGTAATCTGTTAAACACAGAGTAAGATACAGTTACAAAATTGTCATGAAGCTCTTTGCATTAGATCTTATTAACCTTATAAATTCTAACAAATTAATCAAGCAAGCTAAGAGATTTTTCAGAGACTTCTGATAACTTGGTAAACCTCAATTGATTTTCCAAGGTAAATGCTGTGTGGTCTGGTGTATGTGGATGGCTGTTGTTCAGATAATGCCTTCCAGAAAATCTGCTGACAAATATGAGGTTTTATGTTACCAGACAGTTTGTATCAGAGTGTATTCCTATGCCCTTTGTACCTGTGGGCAGGCAGAAATAACTAGGCAGAGAAGGTATATCTAGGACTCCTTTTGGCTGCAGGTTCAACGAGAATTCTTTTTGAATTCTTTTTCTTACATTAAATTAAAAGGTTTCTGCCATTTGCATTTGATTTATTTCTTTGGGCAGGGGGATGTAGCACCATTTACCTGACATGTCTAGGGATTTATTAGGTTATTAAAGCTGTCAAAAGTGACAAAATGCTATTTTTTATTTGCCAGTTATGTTAATTGTCCTTGCAAGTGACAGAGGGGGGCAGAAACATGGTGCCATATAAAACCACATGAATTTGCAGAGTTGCAGAAATATTAACAGGGAAGGGGACTGTGCACACTTTATTACAAATGCCATTTGTTTTTTTATTTCCCCTTCTTGTTTTACAGAAAGAGATGACAACCAGGATGTGTCACTAAAAACTACCTGCTGAAGAAAAGCAAAGTTCTATTTCCTTCCTACTGCAGAGTTCAAGAACATGACAGCCCTTGTGGACTGAACCTGCTTGTAATTCCCTGAAAGATGGAAAGTTACTGTCACAAATGCTTCTCTCAAGTGTCAAAGTTGTTAACCCTAAATATGCTGCTAGGAACCTCATCTGAGCAGCATGGATTATTGAGAAAAAGAAGAATCATGTCAGTTCAAGCTCCTTTATCAGGAATAAGAACCTCTTCAGCCACAAACAACAGCAGACAGTGCCCCTGCTGCCAAAGCTTTACTGAAATTCAAGTCCCTGGGCTGACCTCCAGACTAGTTGTTTTGAAATTAAATCTGCAATCTTGCTTTCTTTTTCTTTTGTTTCTTGGTATGTGTTTTCTTTCCTAACTGCAACAGACAATTAAGAGGTTCTAGAATCAAAGAAGACTTAGCCTTTAATGCCCCCTATCCTGCTCCAGGCCACCCAAGACTTGGCCACCATTCCCAAAAGCCAGCAAGCCTTGTGTTCCAGGGAAGACAGCCATGTCCTTCAGCTGAACAGGCAGTTTATGCTTCATTGTGACTCATAATTTAATGACAGTAGGAGGGTTTCTGATCTCAACTACATGAACAGGGATCCAGATAAGGCTCTGCAGTGCTGAGGTATTTTCCTTGAATTTATGCTCTGACTGACAGCAAATGATCTCAGTAACTCCATATTACATAAAAAAAACCAGCTACAGTCATCATTTTCCTGAAGTACCCTAGAAAGTACACCAATCTGTCATGTAATTTCATATCTTTCTACCCCATTAGGAAAAGGATCCTTCTCAATCACCCTTAAATATCATCTTTTTAGAGAAAAATAAATTTAATTTGAGTAAATTAAAACAGGAAGATACAGTAAAGATGGGTAGTAAAAAAGTTAAAGCAGGAGGGACTAATTGAAGGTCTCTGTTGCAGTGCCCAGCAATGTGACTTGCTTTATACATCAGGCTAACACAATACTTTTTTCCAGAACTTAATCCAAGTTAATTAACACATGTATGGACAGCCTGGAAGGATCCTGTGCAGCAAATCAAGTCTTTTAAGCCAAATACGCCCTGAGGAGACTTTCTTCTGGAAAAAAAAAATAAAAAATTAGAGTGATACTTAACAGAGGTATCACAAGAGAAATACTCCTGAATAAATGGAAATCAAGTGCAACACATCTATGTTTTCTGTGCCTTGTAATGAATTTTGCACACTTGTGTTACTGCAAAAAGTTTCCTTTTCCTGAGTAAGTGCTGAACCCTGTTGCTGCCTTCTCCTCTAGTAAGTTTAGATATGTTTACATCTTCTGAGACAGAAACAGAAGAAAATTTAATGGAGTATCCAGTGATTTGAACATTCGAAATAGAGGGGTAGTAGGCACTAAAGAATAATAGCAAATATTTTCTAGGTCAATGTTGTAGCACATTCTGATTTACTTGCCTGCTTGCTTAAATCAGGGCTTGTAAAATGTCAGTGATCACATTCTTGCTTGGAAAAAGTGCTTTTTTCTATGAACATTTGGTGTACCTACAATGGGAACTTTTCTGTATCTCTTTAGAACTACATAAGCAGCATTATCCTTTGCTTTCAAGGGGATGCATCTAAGTGTTCCTACCTCCTTTGGTAGTCTTTGCAATCAGATTAATTCCTTGGGGATTGGAACGCACACACAGATTCCTGTTCTGCTGGCACTTCTGCAGGATATAACTAGCTTCTGGAATTCATTGCCACAGCTACTCCTGATCTTGCCTCATTTTAAAGATGAAGAACATAACTTCTTTGGGTTGGTTCATGTAGCTGGCGACTGCCTGGAATTATAATTTCAATTGCATATAAAGGGTTTCTTGAACTCTTCAAAAGTGCCTGGGCTGTGGCACTTCTTGAGATGGAGCTCTAGCTGATGCAGTGCACTTGAATTCCATGGCTACCATGGACAGTTGCCATGCGGTATTCTCAGTCTGGGCAGCACTGTATTTGAAAGATTGACATAAAGATGCAAAGGTGTGGAATTTAGTGCATAAAGATCAATGTCACGACACAAATTGAAAATCTTGGATTTTTGTATGCATAATTTAGTCTTCATTTTATTATACTACTTACCATATGCTGTTTAGAGACTATTCACTGCATCTCAGTCTGAAGATTAGGCAGAATTTTTTCTCAGTAATCTTTTTGTGAATGTATAAATTTTGTGAATGCAAAACTTACCAGTTGGAGTGTTTTTATCTTCCTTTAAACTGTGTTTTTCTCACAAAACCTTACGTTTCATTTTCTGGTATGGCACACCATATGAGGCAAAAGAGCTGAACCCCAGAGGATTTGATTTTGACCTGGCCAAAATCACTGCAATGGTAAAAGCCTGTTATTACACAGGAGATGAACCAGCTGCAAAGGAGAGAAAAGTGTACTTGTTTTAGTTGCTTATTCTGCTAGAAAGTACATGGAGTTTCCTTCCTCCACATGACAAAGTGTGGCCTTCTCCTGAGTATATCCCAACAGGTACTCCTCCTTCTGCAGCACAGCCATTCAGCCACCACCTGGCCATCTCATGTCCTGGGCCATTCCTCCTGTTCCACTCCATGGTAGCTGATAAGCAAATATGAATGTTTGGAATGTGGCATCACTTCGTAGAAGTACCATTTTACCCCTTCCCATAGAGAGAGAAAGGCAGCTTCCTCTTGAATCTTGTGATCAAGTATTCCAGCTTCATCCATAATTTGCTCAGGGCCACTAAAAGTATCGTGTTTTGCTTGCTAATGCTTTTTCTACCTGATCATATTATTATGTATGTTCCCAATAATGCCAGCATTCCATATTGTTCTGGGATTGGGAAAGGTGGAGAGAGGAGAGGGAGAGAGGAGGTTATTGTTTGGATTTTTTGGTTTGTTGTGGGTTTTTAATCACTTTTCTAGTTCCTCAGCAAGGTTTTGTTTTCCTTACCTATTTTTTTTTCCTGATGCTTACCTTTAAGGATGCTGTTGTGTTAAACTTCAAGGCACTTTATAGAGTGCCTTTATAGAGGACTCATTTTGTAGTGAACTTCTGTTTTGTGTGAACATAGAATTATTGACAACTGTAATATGAAACAAATCTGAACATAATCTCGCTTTATGAAAATGGAGTCCCAGGGTCTTTTGAAGGGTGGTTTTGTTTTTTATTATTAATCTACAACAGTGAAACTGATGATTTCTATCAGATTTGAGAGAAGCTGGGGACTTACGAATCCTGCTAGTTTTCTCCAAGACCTCAGGCTCTAAGCCGCAAAACTTACATCGGGCAAGTTATTTGATTCCCCTGATGAATGGATTCATTAAGAGCAAGGGAGGGAAAGAGGAGGAAAACAGATAATGTGAAATTCCACAGGGACCTACAGACAACAACTCAAGATGTGCAGAAACTTAATTGGTGAACATTGTCCTCAGTGATCACAAATTCCTTGTCTGTGGAGAGGATACAGAGAATGATACTCTTTGTAGTTGGGAAGCCACTTTTGTAAAGTCTCTATTAGTAACATACTAAAAGGATCTTTTAGCACCTTTGGGTTAAATAAATTACATATTTTGGAGCCCTCTCACAAAAAGCCATTCTTTCCTGTCACTTTTCACCTTCTCTGTGTGTTCTCATTTTCTGGGTGGGAGGTCTCAGAGCCAGCCTTCATCCTTTCAGTGTTCATTTTGCTTCCCCAAGGACAGTTCTGTTACAAAAAGTAGCTTTCTCACCTCTCTCTGTGCCTCCAGAAGGGTCACCTCTCACTTGTGCCCTCTTAAGAGAGACCATCAAGGGCTGTCTGTACTTCTCAGAAGAACAAAAACAAGAGAGCAGGAGGTACCTGCAAGAGCAGCAAAACAGGAGTCACTGCTTGTAAAACAGCATTATGATTGCTATAGTAAAGCATGCTCTATGGCCTTTAGAAAGGGGATAACACTGGGGCACCCAGTATAGACATGTGGTCAGTATTCAGACATTTTTCCTATATATTGGAAGAAATTTTTAATAATTGTGGAGACTATTCCAGTGGCAAAGCAAGCCAAAACAGCACTAAGAACCTGGTGATGGTGTACATTTAAATAAAAAATTATGAAAGTTGATTTTTTTAATGTATTTTATGCTAAATAGTTAGTGATTTCCAAGGTTTAGCTAAATATGTTAGAGTTCTTAAAGTAGTTTCTGTTCTGTGTTTTAATAAGTTTTCCATTTTAAAGACAGATGTAATTAATATAATTAAAAGATGTAATAATTTTTTCCTGGGAAAAAAAATTAATTACTTTTCTGGTCTAATACATACATGTGTATGTGCATGTGCACGTATATATATGTGTGTGTGTGTGTGTGTGTGTTTGGGGATATGGATGTGGAAGCATCAGCATATGCACGTGTACACTAACTAGTCTTTCCTATAAGATACATTTTTTTAAATTTTGGTAATATTTAAGGGGAATGCATCTTTCTAAGAAACAAGTGGTTAATTCTTTTTCGTCCTCCATGCATCAGCTTTGTTGGGTGTGTTAATTTTTTTTTTTGATGATGTCACATTTGTCTTAGACTTTTTTAGTTCTATTTGTTATTAAGTGATTTTTTCAACTGAATGGGAAGAGAGACCGACATTAATTGTTGTAGTCATTAAAAGAAAAAGAAAGTTTACATTACAAACCAATCATAATGGATGAAGCAATGGAATACAAATATAAATAAAATAAACATAGCCATGGAAAAGTGTTGTGAAGTTATTTGTTATCTAACTCTTCAGCAAGAAAAATGCATATGGTTTTCATACCAGAGAGCAGAATTCCCTGTCAGAGTCCCTGGACTCAGAGGTGAGATCCATCACTGCCAATGCACCAGCTTCACAGTCCTCCTGTCACCAGTGTGACATCAAGAAAAGCTGACCAAATGTCATGCCAATGCAAAGTGGCCAGCCTCTCACAACACTGTAGGATCAGATAAAGCCTGTGAGTAGCTGTTCCTTAGCTAAGCTGGCCTGCTCATTTTTACCTGTCAAGGCAAAGTTCCCTGTCAAGTTACCCAAGGGCTTGGGTAACTCACCGGCTTCCTGTCCTTCAGCTGATTCCTGATCAGACACTTCAAGGAGTGTCCAGAAGTGACTTGTAAGCAACACCAAGCCAGTTAAAGGCAAAGTTTTGTCTCCTGAAATCAAAACTAAAGAGCCTTGGTTTGAATTTGGCTTCCACAGAGGGAAAAGGTCTAATAGGGCAATAGAAACTATCTCCAGGATATGGACTTCAGAGCCCAATGCATTGTTCTCTTTGCCCTCATTCCTGAAGCACAGATAAGCACATATATGTGCATAATTAAATGTAAAATTACTGCACCTAATCCGAGTCAGGTACAGAGCTGGAGAGGAGCAGAAGCATTGGGGCTAAGAATGGCACTGTGGAGAAAACACCTAGCAGGAGAGCCAATGCTGGACTTTGGATGTCTCTCTGTGGCATGGGGAGGATCTGAAGATTAGTGCTGCTGGGACTAATGGAGTAACTGCAAAGCAGCTGCTGAGGGAAGCTGAGGAACTTGGCAAACTGAAAGGAGCCCAATGGCAAAGGTAGCAGGAAGTTTTGCAGGGTGGCATGTGCATCTCTGTACACCAGAGGGCTGTGTCAACAATCAGAGGACACTCAAAAGTTTATAGAAAAATGCCAAGAGAAAGCTCATGAAGCTGAATAAAGGGAAATGGAAATTCCTGCAATTGCGAGGGCCAGACTCAGCCTGTATGTGCAGGAGCCACCCAGCTGGAAAGCAGTTTGGCAGGGAGGGACCCAGGGCCCCAGTGGACACCAAGCTCACCACGACCCAACAATCTGCCCTCACAACAAATATGTCAAATAGCCTTCTGGACTGCATTTATAGAAATGTTACCTGCAGTTCAAGGGCTGATCTTCCTTCTGTGATCAGCCCTAGTGAGACATGTCAGGAGTGTTAGCTCCGCTTCTGGGTGCATCAATACAAGAGATAGTACAGACTGGAGGAATGCAGAAAAGGGCCACAAGTATGATGAATGGACTAGGGCATATCTCAGACAGGCTAAGCTGAAAGAGATGGGACTGTGTATCCTGTAGAAGGCCAATGGGGGATATTATCTCTATGTATAAACATTTAATGAGGTGAGTGAAGAAAACAGACTTTTCTTAGTGCTATCCAATGACAAAAGCAATTGGACACAAAGTACAGGAAACTTCTATTAAACACATGAAAAATCAGTTCAAAGTGACTCTGTTCTGATGTGGCATTGGACTAGGGACTGTCAGCAGTGCCTCCAGTCCAGTGGTGTGGTGGGCCTGTGACCACAGCAGCTTATCTAGGCTGTCCAGCAGTGATGAGGCTCTGCAGTCTGCTGTTGACACCCCCCTTGTCAAGGCCAAAAGAGGCCTTTTCTGTCAGGGGAAAGCACTGTAGGAAACCCTTTCCTATAGAATATTGTTGCATGCCTCCTTCATTTTCCCTATCCATACAGCAGTGAAAGCTGAGCAGCAAGAGGAAGGCAGCCCCCTGCATCAGCTGAGAAGCAAAGGAGTGGGGCAGAAGTGATACTGGCTATTAAAACCCACATGCTTTGCTACACTGCACAAGCTGGCTCAGCTGTTTACTTACCTTACCACCATAACAGGGATGATTTTTTCTCACTGCTGCTCAATTTGGCAAAGCAGAATTCAGCCTCCCTTCTCTATTCCAAATTGTTCCTCACAGTCCTTGGAAAGAGCATAAAAGTGGGGCAAAGCCAGAAGGTGATGGGGTGAAAAACAAGCAGATCTTCCTGATTAAAAAAAAAACTTAGATGGCACGGAACAGATGGCACTCTTGGTTTGAAACTTTAGACTGTGCTTAATATGTCATGGCAATTAGAGTAGTTCAAGTAAATTGACAGGTCATCTGAAGTTGTCACCCACCTGGTGCATGCATTTTGGGAAGTGGAGCCATTCTGGAAGAGTAAAAGTCATACATTACTCACACTGCTAAAAGCCATATTGTAGATAATTACTAAGCATTCAGTAATAAATTTGGCACAAAGGGTAGCAGTATTTAGGAGGGAAGGTGCCTAAACATTAGGGTTCTCTTGGTGTAATCCCATTCTATCCATTGAAAAGTGAAAAAAAAAACCAACCAAAAAACAAAAAACCAACATAAAACCAAAACCAGACCAGTTATGAAATTTCACATTTATAATGTACAAACTGCATCACAGAGTAGTCCTAGA